TGGTTGCTTTGTTTGCCGAGTTTTTCAATCGGACAGTTATAAAGGTATGGAAGACTAATCCAAATGACACAAAAATCATGCTTTAGTTTATGTAATTGTTTTGACTATGTTTTCTCCCCAAAAAATTTTCTTCAAATCTGATTTCATTTAAGTAATTTTCTCAACACCGACAATTAAATCGCAGGAGATTACATTTCAACTTTTAAAAGTGCATTTCCTTTCCTTTTAGAGCACTTTTTACGCTATAATGCTTCATTCATTAATCGTATATTTAGACATTTCACGTTTTTATTATGCGGATTCCTGACACTTATTTTTCTTTTCCCTTTTCCGTACATGATATATATATGATATATATATGATATATACATACACACACAAATATATATATATATATATATATATATATTTTAAATAAAAGTTATTACCGCAAATTTCAAAGTATATAGGCGATGAATGAACAGTAAAGCGATATGAAAAAAATAAATCAAAAAGGAAACAGAAAGTTTCACAATTTTCGGCAGCAACACGTAGCAATGCAGTTCATGTAGCTCTTAAGCATTTCCGTACCGCTATCTCGGAGAAAACTTATAGAATCGAGCAAAATTTTCGAAAATAGGATGGATAGGTAGCTTGGGCGGCAAGAAATGCAATAAGTTTTCATTGCAAATTGATATGAACAAGCAGGCAAGCAAGCAATGAATGAACTGATGGAAAGAGTGATAAAAGCAAAGCGTTGAAAAGAGATTTTTTTCTTTTGCATGGGAGAAAAATTCGTTGGAAGAGTAAAAAAAAAAAGAGGGGGGAAAAGCAAAAGTGATAAGTGCAAACAATAAACAAAAATGGAAATAAATTAAAAAGAAATCTTTGTATCAACAAACGTTAATTGAATAAAGAAGAAATTTTACGAAAAATATACCGAACGCATCAATAGACGGGCCGCAGTTAATTTAATCGAAATGATGCAATTAAATGCATTTTAAAGCAAAGCAAGGAAAGCCAGTTTCTTTAGGGGAACTTTTTCTCTATAACCCTAAAACTCTTATAAAAAGAATAGAAATAAAAGCTGGGAAGAGAATTGACAAGATTTTGTTAAAGCCATCAAATCAAACACTCCTAAGATGAAAACGTGTTATCCCGTTACGTAGGAGTTACGCGATAATGCACAATTTAAGAAATTGTTCATAAAAATCATGGAATCATGGAAAATAAAAATTTTTTAACACGAAAACTACCGATTGGGTCAGCTTGACTTCTTCTACAGTCAAACTTTAAAAATTTTTGAATAACTTTTGTTTATTAGGAAACACCTTTTCATACATAAATTGTCTTCCACTTGTCTCGATTTAGATATATCTAAGGCATATCTCTATTTTACATGAGGTTTAGTCAATTTGATCCATTTCTTTTATAAAGTTGCCACACTCGCAAAAATTGTCATAGAAAGTTCAAAGCTAACGCATCCATTTCTCAGGGACAATAAGTTTAAGAAATGAACACGATCTGTTCGAAAATCCTAACACAAGGGATAAGAAAGTGAGACAATCGGAAAGAAAGACGAGAGTATTTCGTTAATTTCATCAACAGAGAGAGTCTTCCTTAGAGAGAAAGAGAGAGAGAGAGAGAGAGAGAGAGAGAGAGTATTTCCTTAATTTCATCAACAACCTACAATCCTGCAGAGAGTGTGACCTGGAAATGATTTCGATCGATTAGCAGGTGTATTTGTGGCAACATCACGGAGACGTCATAAGTAACAAGGCTTTTTTTCGTTTCCGAATTTCGTGCCAAGGCACAAATAAAAACATGTCTTTTTCCCTTAAATTTAGCGTCATGTCCGATTTTCCAATATAGGCTTCCAGTCGCTCTACCTATTCGACAGAGATTCATATCGAAGACGTGAAAACAAAGGAATACTAGAAGGCTGCTAGATAGTACTTGTCCGCTGTCATATGTAAGGAAATGTGTTATTTATTGTTAATTATGTTATTGCTAACGCTGTATATGTATTTGTCAAATGCACTAAATCATCAATAACTTGTTTTTACTTTTCAATAAGAAATCTTTCATTTTTAACAAATATTACTTAAGAAGAGGTCAGCATAAAGCCAACCACAAACAAGGGCAAAAAATTGCATTTAATTATATGTTTCGCTTAATAATAGCCTCTCATATGCATATAGAATCAGTCGATTTAAAAGATCATTAACAAGCAAATAATAACTGAATGCATATACTGAAAGTCGGCTAACGAGTTAACGGGAAAAAATCTGCAATAAATTACAGACAACAAAACAAGGAGCAATGAAAAAGAATACGGAACAAACAGAATACAGGAGAAATAAATAAGCGGAAAACCAACCTCAACGATGTAAGTCCGAACGTATGCAACAACAAATTATTCTTATATGTATGCGTGTGCTAAGCTTGAGAAGCTCAAAATAAAAACACAGTATTACGAAGGAACATGATATACAAGAAATTTACACAAGCACATAAAGTACATATTGGTTACGTTCATCTACTCTGTTGCTGTTGCTACTACTCTTGCTGTCCTTTATGCGAAGGTGAATAATTACAGCATTAGTCACACAAATAAAACTAGACTTTTATAATCCCCATTATCCAATAATAATGGGTATACATACGTTTCATCATCATATGTGTTTTGCAGCAACACACATCGCCAGGTGTGTTGATTTAAGCATGTCCGTCTACTCATCTGTGTGATGTCTGTAGTAGACAATCTTCTGGTTCCAAAAATTATAATATCAACTTTAAATTTTGTTTTTTACATATTTATTCATATCTCCGGCTACAATTAATTCCACATTCAACCGCCATAATAGGCACCACCTTTTTTATGGGCTGAAGGGCTTAAATTACACTATTGCAGGAAAGATGATCATTAAAGCACAACAAAATTAATAGTGTTTTGAGTTTTTTTCCTTTTTTTTTTCGAAGTAAACAAATTTTTTCTTAGAATATTTTTAGGCTTAAAGTACTACCTAGCGAAGTGAGCTCAAGTCGCAGTGTTAAAACTATGATATTTATATATCAAAGAATATCAATCAGAAAAGCAAATACACCCCCTATGCAATATTATAGGCATTAAAGTATTAAAGGCAAACATAACTCTACCTAAAATATTAGAGGCCTTTGTGTATATATATAACTTACTTATAAGGTAAGGTGTACCCGCTCTGAGATTCGAACCCGGTATCATCGATTCGCCAGTCACGAGTCTATCCACTGCACTATGTGGTATGCTGACGTTTACAAGCGCTTACAGTGCAGCAAACACTGAAAACATCTTGGCCTTCTGGATGTTTTGCTCACTGCTCATATATCATAGTACACACACGCACACACACACACACACACACAAATATGGCCTGGTTTATTGTGCAACGATGAAAAAACATCCATGCCTACTCAATAGTACAGAGCATGAATATTTAATATATCCATCCTGTTTTTTTTATGATAACGTAGGCGAGCATAAAGGCTTCTGTCATAACCGAAAATAATTTTCTTAATTGTTTTTCGCATTTTTGTATTACTAGGAAAAGAAAAAGTGTAATAAATAAATAATTTTTTCCCCATTTATTTCATATTGGCGAAGGAGTGTATATTAAACAAAAGTGACCCACAGTTCCAGTGGAAATGTAAACGAAAAACTTTGTGTATCGGCTCCAATCAATAATCTAAGCCGGTATATGACGGCTTGGCTTTGTCATATGAAAGCATAAAGTTATATATACTACACATAATAATGATAGCTTGTTTTTTCTAGTTGCCCGATTTTTTTATAGAAGCCGACAGACATACCATGACGACTTTCAGTGATATAATGTAACTTTCGGAAATTAAACATGTGTCTTGTATCTTCATATTAACTACCGATAGTTCACATAACGTCCTTATGACTGCGTTTTGAACGCTAAGCGTAGACATGAAAAGCCTTTCATAATCGGTCGAGTTTTAAAGCATTTCCCGCGTGAGAAAGACAAGAAGACCTTATGATTCTAGAATTAGATTTTGACTTTTTGGTCCTCTTCTTATAAACTGCAATAGATACAACGATAAAAAAAAAACTACTAACCGTGACGGGATACATAAAAAAGGCGACAAACTTGTGTAGACTACACATATACTTTGCGAATCCTCCAAACCCCGGCATTGGTGGAGGGGATTGTAAATTTTATGGCGGACCTTATGAACCCAAAATTTTTCAAATTCCAAAGTTTTCTACTCGAATGTTCTTAATGACTTGTCGATATCAGTTTCGTAGCGGGCCGATCAGGAGACACAAACTCAATTTTGGAATTCTAACGACTTTAAAATCGAATCGTGTTTCATGAACTAATTTAAAAACAACCTATATGGAAGTTTTGTCGCTGTGCCAAGTTTTCCGACCCTAACCACGCGCCTTCAATTATATGTTAATAACCAACTTCGTATGATAAAATAACAAATAACAGGTATAAAGTTTTTGATGGAAGCAAAGGGCTTGAATCGCAGCAGCTATTGGATTGTAATCTTTGACTTAGTCAAGTTTAGTTTAGTTGAGGCTCTAGAAGACTCAGAAGCTTTGATCTTTGGAGAAAGGAATCGATAGTTTGTCGACGTACAAGTTTTTCTAACATTGGCGCAAATAAAGCAAAGCCTCTCTTGGCTTGTAATCTTTTGTTTTTCACATAGTCCTGGTTTGTCCTGACTACGACTGCGCATATTATTCGGTGCACACTGTATGTAGGGGACACCTTACCACTGTTTTGTAATTTTTTTTTAGAGAAAATTAAAATCAACTGATACTAGGAAACAAACAGGTATTCACAGGTTATCAGAGTTCCCTGATATAACTGCTTGAGACTTTTTCTTTTATGCTTTTTTTTTTTTTATTATATACTGTTACTTTATCCACGGCTCGAAATGAAAGCAATATCGATATATAAGTGTTCAATGGACGGATATCGGAAAAATGTAGATAAACTTGTTACCTGATAGACTCTCTCGCTTTGTTGGGACTCGTACAGTTGCTTCCCTCGGAGTTGTTTTTAGACGATTTTTCCAGTTTTCGCTGCTTCAGGTTACTAAGACTCCTACAGCGCTTACAAAGTCATCTTTCGTCTCTTTCGGATTTCGAAGTTTTTTTCTTTTCCCTATGTCTCGTAACATTTTTGCTTTGCTTCAACGTCACTGTTTCCTTGTTTTATATAAAATTTTTACTGTTGGTGCAACGTTCATTTACACACCCAAACTTAACGACTGCCGTCTACCCTTGGTAATTATCATACAACGATTTATCTGTAAGAAGAAATACAAAGAGTAGTTAGTTTTTAAAAAAGAGAAGGAGCAACTGTCTTACTGCAGACTGCTATCTAGCAGCAAAAGTAGCAGCTGGGCATCAAAAAACTAACCCACACAATAGAATAAATGCACGGAATACAGTTTTCCCGGTCTTTGAACCGATCGATTTGCATACGAATACGTACCTAGTTTTTTTGAAAGGAAACTATTGCTGAATAGCGACGCGCGTTCAAAAACGGATGCGCTGCGATAATCCGAAACGCCAAAAATGATTATGCAAGACCAGTGAATCATTCACATTGGCAAAGTGAAATATTCACTGCTTGGTGGGCTTTTGCTGTGCATTTAATGAGCTCAACCAGTTATAGGTTGGATTCTAAGCAAATGCTATGATAAAAATAAATTTTTCAATATGACACGGGTCAGAAAATGATGCACTAAATTCGCATGTCTTCCCATTCGACACCGAAATCGTACATAGTGACGAGCTATTCCTTTGAAAAGGAATTTATATGTTTGCTGGATATTATGGCTATATGCCTAGAAAATAATACCGTTAGATTATAGTACAACGCTACAAACATATCGTAATTTGAAATATTTTACTGAGGACAACTGATCGGCTGAGCAATTTGAATTGAGATCTTTAGTCGTGATAAGATTTTTACTTCCCACAAACATTTCAAAGACTGGCGTGAAATATGCAAAATTGCAGCTTAGTGTGCAGCTATGAACAAAACCAAACAATATAAAAAAATTATTTAAACTAAATCAAGATCGAAACATTTTTGAGAATTCGCCTTGGCCATACAATTGCAATTCGTCAATGGATCTTAAAGGAGTCTTCCTCCCCAATCTGCCTTATAAAGCACATTCCATGTGACTGCCTTAACTTTTTCTTGCCTAAAAGTATTGCACTTGCAGCGATTTATCCTATCAGCTACAGAACAGAATATCAATACAATATATTACTTTATTAAAACTACTAGGCTCAATATCTAATGTACTTATGTAGAGCCGATAGCCTCTGTGGGTAGCGCTCAATGCTATCTTTTTAGTCTAAGAATTTATTTCATTAATCTAAAATTACAGTATTAATAATAATATTTAAACTAAATTCATAAAACATGAAAAATTATATACGCTTCTGTAAAGGATCCGATAAATTGTAAATGCATTGAAAATAATTAATTTTGTAAAAAAAATATTTCGAATATTTAACGTAATGTAAAACATATATTTTACACATGTTTCTCATATCATCGATAGCCGACATTATTTAATTGATAATTGTTAGCTGATTAAGTCATCGCATCTGAATCAATTGAATATTTTAATTAATGCATAACTTGTGCAATAAAAAAGTGCAAAAAAAAAAAAGAAAAAAAAAAAAAAGTAAAAAATTAATTAACGACTACATGGATGAATGAATGAACGAATGAATGAATGAATTAATGTTATTAATAAACTTATTTATACAAATATACAAATACACAAGTACACAAGCCACACTATTATATATGATATTAAAGTGTTTCATTCACACAAAGCAGACAAAACAAAACACTCTAGACTCGAGTAGACAAACATCGAACGAGAAGTGATTGAATGGGAATGAATTCATTAAAGGAAAAACAAGTACTTTACACTGCCAATGCTACGTATCATGTGCTTGAGATATATACTAATGAGTGTTTTTTTTTTTTTTTTTTCTTTTTTTTTGTTTATTAAATATATTTTTTTTTTTTTTTTTTTTTTTTTTTTGTTTTTATTATTAAATTAAATACATTTTCTATGTTTATTTATTTGTTTACCGTAATTATATTACAATTATTTTGAGTGCAATATCTTGGTTAATTTTGATAACGGTTTCCTAATATGACAAAGACAAAGTACCAATTATACCTAATTGGTTTTTGGTTTCATCAT